TAAGACCCCAGAGAATGCATGCAGCATAGGGAAAAAACATGATGAATTGGAGATCTGTGTGCAGTTGCAGAGCTGCAATCTTGTTGGGAACACAGAAACATGGATGGAGTATTGCCATGAGGGGGTGTAGGCTCTTTGGGAAGGACAGGGTGGGAAGATGAGTAGGAGGAGTTGCCCTTTATGTGAGAAAGCAGCTGGAGCGCATGGAGCTCTGCCTGCGGATGGATGAAGTTGCGCAAGCTAAAGCCCAAATGGAACTGAATGCGGCCAGGGATGTCAAAGACAACGTGAAGGGCTTCTACAAGTACATAGGTGACATAAGGACAACTAGGAAAAATGTGGGCCCATTGCTTAATGAGACGGGACCTGGTTACATCGACCATGGAAAAGGTTGAGGTACCGAACACCTTCTTTGCCTCAATTTGTACTAGCAAAACCAGCCTTCAGGAATGCCAGGCATCACAGACCAGGAGTAAAGACTGGAGGCAGGGAAGATGCACCTATGGCAGAAGAGGATCAGGTCAGGGAATACTTAAGCAAAATGGACATATGTAAATCCATGCACCCAGATGGGATGCACACATGAGTGCTGAAAGAGCTGGCTGAGTTCACTGCAAGGCCAGTCTAGATAATCTTTGATCAGTCATGGTGACTGGCAGAAATGCCTGAAGACTGGAGGAAAGCAAATGTCACTCCTGTCTTCAAGAAGAGCAAGAAGGAGGACTCAGAGAACTACACGCTGCTCTGCCTCATCTCAATCCCTGGGAAGGTGATGGAGGAGCTAAACCTGGAAACCATTTCAAGGCACGTGAAGGACAAGAAACTCCTCAGGAGCAGCGAGCATTGAAAAGTTTGTGATGTGTCTATATTTAATCATTGATACTTAAAAGTACAAAACTCAGTAAGTGTACGCTGTAAAAGCTGTACAATTTAGACTTCTATTTTCCACTTCAGCTTCTCGTCACAAAGCCTGGGACATAGAATAGTTAAAGAAGTAACATCACCTTGTACAAGCAATACCCTTGATTCATTCTGACTAAATAGCTTATTTAAATCTGGGCTGGAGGGGTGGTGGTGTGTCACCAGAGGACAAACTTTATGTAGCAATCTGTATTCCTGAATATATGTTGCTTCTGAAGAGAGTTTTTGAGGTCTGTGCTTGAAATTTAGCGGCTACATCAACTGGAGATGTTTACAAAATTTGTTCCTAATGTTCAAATACACATGTAGATCTTCGTGGAGCTGCTTCCCTGCATGCCTAGTTCAGAGAAGAATTATATAGTAGCAACTGAATTTTCATGCATCACCAAAGTTCACCTCATATATGTTTTATATGTAGAAAATGCTACATCAAAATACTCAACCATTTTTCAGTTTCACTGCTACTCTTATACTTTATGCGGTTCACAGAAAGAAACTAGATGTATAGCGAAAGTGATGGTCTTAGTGATTGTAGGCAACCCACCTCATGTCATCCAGTAAGTCTGATATACTGAAATACTAAACAGAACCACAGAAAGCCAGTAGTTTTTATGATAGGATTATCCTTCCTCTTACAGAGCACATTGCTCTCCTCTTTGACCTGAAGTTCTTCATGTTGCAAAACCTGAGTACATGATGGATTTGACATCTCTCTGGAAAATAGCATCTGAGACACAAATACTAATGATTGTTTTTACAGGTGCCAATACGATGACAGTTTTGGAAGCAACTTCACCTTCACATACCGCAAAGCCAGTGACACACAGGTTAATCAATGCCTTAAGATTTAATCAGAAAGTGTTGAGAAAGAAGTTGCTGTAGTGTGATACAGAAAAGCAACAACCTAACTCTGAAGTGGATAACAGTGCTTCATTGTGAGTCAAGCAAATACGCAACAGGATAGGCAAGGCAGACAGAATAAGGCAGAGCAAAAAACCCATAAAGATCACTAACTCACCTTTAACTCTGATTAGCTGCAAGTGTTTAGCAATCAAGAACAGTTTAGCAGTAGTACTTATTTCTAAGCAGGAACTGATGTTAAAGAAAAAACACAGTCTAAGGAAAATAGCCTTTCGGGGCTGTAGAGCCAGAGAAAGAAAAGCAACAGAGCACAGGGCTGTCCTTTCTTTTGTCCTGCCTCTCCCCTGCCCCCAACACTGACAGCTCCCAAGGATGGGCCTATCAATGGAAAAGTTACCCTGCCCTTTTGGTTACTCTTCCTACCCCTCCTGCTCTAGAAGGTAATCTGTTTTAACACATCATTGAAAAAACCACTCTGATTTCTCCTCATCAGTAGTCACAAAAATGAAGGTTTTATCGGGTTCATTGGTTTGTTTCTAAAGAAGAATAATTGTAATTCAGATTTGTTGAGCTAATTTTTAGAGAAACTTATGGGAAAACCAACCAAACACATCATAAAAATGACACCGCAAACACAGATGAAGATATACAACATCTTACGTATGTTAATCTCATGACGTGAAGTCACATTGCTAAGCCAGCCTGCACCAGTGCCATAGAGAAGAAGATGACAGCTTCCTTTACTTGACGGGAACAGGTGAACCAGAAACAAGCCCAGAAACAAGTCAAGACACCGATGGAGAAAACAGGAAACCAACGGAGGCAGGCAATAGGGGGCACGTGAATCTGCTCTTGCTGCTTTCATTCAACAGCACAGGCCAACTTAACATGAAAAGCAAGTTAAGGAATTGTTCAGCTCCTGTAGAGCATCTTGCCTAGCCTCAGCCACAGCACTTTAAGATAGATAGAAACTAACCGAAGAGAGGCCGATAAGAACAATAAGAAAGGATGACCAATAAAGACAGACCAAACAAGCTGGGCATATTTTAGCCTAAAATAGAGGAAGTTGGATTGCTCCCCCTTGAAGATTTCTAAGAACCAGCTAACTAGCTATGCATCAGGAATGGAACAGATAGGTTTGTCTTCACCTTAAGGCAGTGGGAAAGAAGGATGAACCTCTTGAGGTCATTTCTAGCCCTATATTTTTCTAGGATTTGGAAATGGACCCTTCCAAATAGCAACAACTACTTCACTTATCTCCAAAGGAAGACAGCCCTATAACATTCCCATATTGCAAGCTGTCCTTTTCACAGAATGTTATAACTTATTCCTATTCTAAAAGATTCTTCACACTGCCAGAGTAGTAGAAAGACACTTTAGTCTCACAGAGAATCAAGCCGAAAATATCAATCAAGTTCTTTATTTATATCTCTTGGGTATAATAATCTCTCTAGAATTAAAGAACTACAGTTTTTAAGTTTTGATACAACACAATTAGCAATCAGGGCTTTGAATAAAATAAGAGTTTTAAACAGAAGGTTAAGACAGCATTAAAAAAATTATTAGCACGTCAGTAGACTCTGAGCAGACAGTTCTTTAATAACATTGGACAGGGAATTTAAGGGAAAATACTTCAGAGAAGTGAATGGATATTCTTTCCAGCAGAATGATTTCTTCAAAGACAAAAATCAAAATTATGCAGGTCATTTTTTTGTTTCAAAAGAATCACTTTGAAGGTAAAATCTACCTACCCAAAGCAATTAAGATGAGAAGAAGAAGAAAGATAGAGAAAAATAATACTCCAAGGGCCAAGTATGTAAGACTGAAAGAACTATTCAGTCAAGGTATAATCATCCATTTTCCCCTGAATTATATTTATTTAATATGAACATAAAGGTGTGCAGAAGAGATGAATGGGTTACAGGAGAAGGCAAAATGAGAGCTCTAAATGTTGTTCTTTGGAAAGCAACACCGTTATCAAAGAGAACTGCTTGCTGCAAGTCAAACAGATTGCTGTTTGAATTAAAGATTAAGTTGTGCACGGCTCTGTGAGCAACTACTAGGAGAAGAGCAACAGAAGATTACAGAAGGAATACTTCCTGCAACAGTTGGTAGTGCTTGACAGACTCCAGTCTTGGTTTTAGCACTGGTAGATCTCAGCCAAACTTCTCACAGGTGACAAAGGAAAAAAAATTAAGTTAACTTTTACTTTAAGACTAAAATCTTCCTCTCCAACCTGGTCTTTACTTGAAGGACAGGAGGAAACTGAGCTTCTGGCCTCCATCATACACTTGCCATGAGGTGATACAGAAAATATGTATCAGATTTTGCTGTATGAACAAAATTGTTCATAAGTTTAAGTTCTACCAAATACCTGTCTCACTCTTTGCCTTTAGAGTCTGCTTTATTCATTTATTTGCTTTCATTAAACTATTTATTTATGAATTCTTGCTCAAAACAACTGAAAATCCTAGAAACAAGGACAAAGGATCCTTAGTAACCTCAGATTACACAGTGTTCCACTACAAAAATGAGAAACCACTTAAATGCAGTATCTTGCATCACTACCCCACCTCAACAGCTCTAGGGCAGAAACCTGGGATATTTTACAATTTTAAATGCCATTACAGAAAACAAGAATATATTCTCCTTTCAGTTGTATTTCCTCACCTAGAATATACATTTATAGATAACTTCTGTACTTGCCTTTGGTCATGTTTGATGCCCTGATGATAATTTAGAAATAATTCAGAAAGAAAAGTACACTTCCTATTTTATTATCCATCCCACTTCACAACACAAACAGATTTCATGTAAGGCCTCACAAGAAGAATGAAGAGGACATACTTTGTTTCAGCTCCTGGTGAGAGGCATCAGATGTTCCTCTAATCAACCCTTGCTAGCAGGATTTTTCAGAGGCTGCATCGAAGGCCTAGCTTTACGGATGCATAAAATAAGACTGAGAGCAGAGCTTTCAAGAGGAAATAAGACCAGTGGGCTTAAGGAAAAAAGGTATTTCAGGCTACCTGTGTGTTTTTAAAAATTGCAGCTGTGAATAAAAATTAAAGATAACATGAAGAAAATATTGTACTACCTACCACAATAAGTTAAAGTACCATGCACAGAGCACGCAGCTACTTCAGTAACTGAACAGATCCTGTTCCTCCATATTTTACTTTCATTGAGAAGAGACAACTTCAAGTGTATTGTTACTGTACCTGTCCTGGCTTCCTTCTGTGATGTGATAGAGACGATTGGCACCTCCATCAGCACAAGCTCTCAGTGCAGCTGCAAGGGAAGAAACAGAACATCAACGTATTGGCATTATAAACAAAACACCACAACCAGTTACTCCATTACTGACATTTCTGTGTCAACTCAAGTGTTCATTGCAGCATAGGGAATAAATTATATGGCTTTTAGCTTCCTATACTTGACTACTTCCCTTGTTTCTCTAGATAGACATCTGAACTGGTTTTATCAGACTAGTGCCAATCTTCATCTGACTGTGCCACTCTACTTTCCAAATAGCTTATTTCTGGCTATCCTAACCTACTGCCCAATCAGTTTAAACTACATGGAAGCAAGTATTCAAAACCTGAAAAGCGCCCATCCTCCATGTATGGGCATGTACTTGTCTAAACAAGTGGGAACTTGCACCTTAAACTTAACAATCTTCTCACCCGGGCAAAAGGTTCACAATGGTAGCTCTACAATGACCTGCATAAAAACTGGGGGAAAAAAAATACACCTCTTTCCTTCCCCTCCTATGACACAAAAATGATAACTCTATTACAGTTTCTATGCTGTTCCACAGACTGTTTGAATCATATGATATAAAGTAGGTGGGTTAGGTCTTGGCTTTAAATCTTGAACTATCCTGGTACAAAAGGAACAAAACCACAATAATTTTCAGTGCTTCCACATAACTTGGGGACCACAAAAGGCACGTGTCAGTAATTCCCATTGATTTAAACAAGCACAGACATGCTGTTCTGTTTTGATCCCTTTGTTTATATAGGCTTAAGTCAGAGAAAAGTCTAACACTATTATTATAAAATCAGATATAAATTGGTATATTTTATTCATAAACATCCCTACTAATCATCATTTAACTAACACACAGTTCTTTCATGAGATTTTTAAACTATGATAAGCTATATTAAAGATTGAAAATGACCATCTTGTCTTAGCAGTCTTTATCAGTTTTCCTCTGAGATGCACAAGTCAGATAATCACAGCCGGCAAGATAAAAGCAGCTGTCACTTCTACACTAGAGCAGAGTGTTCCTTCCAGGTCTGTGGGCAAAGAGAGACCAACTGGTAGACTGGAGAGGGCTGAAAGTCAGAGGATCAGGGGGAGGAGGGCAAAGGAAAAAAGAAGAGAGACAAAGCAAAGGAACAGCCTGCACATGTTTTGGAAAAACAGGTACAAACAATCAGATCAGGCACTTCCTGCTGCTGAGAATCCAATTTTCAGCTAAAGCCACTTTGCTTTGGTTTTTATTTCTCAGTCAGAACCACCTCTCAGCAGTGACACAAACCTACATTTTTCCTCTTGGCCCTCATTAAGTGGGCAACGCACCTCACCCCTAGCTTAACCATTGACTTAGCTAGGCAATACCAACTGGGACCACAAAGTTCATCTCCATATCTGCTCTCATCTTTAAGCCAATCTTTCTTCTTTGACTGCTAAACTCCCGCCACAGGGAACGTTCTCTACAGGTATATCCACCACGTAGTACTATGCAACCTCAGCTAAGGCTTTTTGGAAAAAAAAAAAAGCAGCAAGCAGGGCACCACAAAAGCTACCAGTTCATCCCAGGTAGCTTTGGGTACAGCAGCTTTTTCCCTGCAGGCAACAAGAAAGTGCAGGGCAGGAGAACTAGCATTGCACTCCTTTGAGTCTCTTCTAGCACGGCTCCTGCTCCAGTGACCCCTCTTCTCTCTTGTCCATAGTACTACTGTACCCACTATGGTAAGCACTACCTCTCTCAGCCTTCTTGTACAGACCGTGCTCTTTGTCTCCTTATCCTACTTCGCCCACTCCTTCCAACCACCATCCAAACCCATATTAACAAGCCAAGGTCAAGTAGATTTGATCCTGACAAATCTCATTAGCTGAGATAATTTCTAAATTATGGTGGCTGGCCAGCCACTTACAATCGTGATTCACTGCTTCAGGCTCTTGTCAGGTTCCTCACCCATCCTGATGAATATAAACATCACAAAGAACATCCTTTTCTCCACCCTGTGTTTGATTGAAAGCTTTTAACTTCTCCCGTCACTTGAGATTACAGCTGAAACTGGATTAATGTAATTCCTTTCATCTGGGCATATTTGTTAAGTTCTCTCAGGGCATCCAGCTCATACAGAATTTAGTAATGGTCCATTGCAAGAAGAGTGTGTAATACCTGTCCTTAAATTAGCTATCTCAGCCATCGGTTTATTTAGGGGATACAAGGCATCTAAGAAAGGCCTAGGCCCTAAGCAATTACAGAATCTTTTCTCTCTCCCTGAGCTATGAAATCAGCTCATCAGTTGAGACATTCTTTGTAACCAAAACCCTAAGAATGCTGCAGAAAAATTATTTTCTAACTTTAGGTACACAACCTGTATGAAGGATGCTTCTCAGGTGTCTAAAAAGTAGCTAAAAAGTAAAGTTACCGAATAGAAAATTGGTTCTGTTTTACCTCAAACCAGGACACAAGGCCAAAGACAGACCCAGCTTTTTTCTTCTAAGAACAGTAATTTTCACATCTATTCTTACACACTTTAAACAAATAGGTGGCTTATGACTTCTGGGGAAAAAAAAGAAGGGATGAGATACAGAAAAAAAGAGATGAAAGAATCTATTATCTGTCTCAATTACTTTAAGACTGCCAGCGTCTTAACTTCTGTAAATTATCTCAATGGATTTACCACAAGTTAAGACTTGCCTACTACTCCACGTGACATTATTATTTTAAAAGCACATGACCGAAAAAACAAAACAGAGTAAGTGTTAAAGAACAAACCAGTCTTCAATATGGGGCTACTATCTGATATCTGAAATCAAAATAGTTGCCTTATATAACTTCAATTTAAAGCTGTCCCCCACATATTTATTCTTATAAATAAGAAATTTATTCTTATAAATAAGAATAAATAATAATTGAAAAAAATTAAACTTTGGCAGCACTGTAAAGTTATTTAGAGAAACTATTTATGAGGTACTGATCCTTTACTGGCAAGTTAATAACTTACGCTGGAATGAACCAAAGCCCCAGATGCTTTAAGTAACTAGCAGGTAATTAACTGATTGGCTGGAGGCCAGTAAATCATATTATTTCTATAGCTATGAACCAAGCCTTGCTTGATAAAAAATAATGATATGTATTACCTGGAAGAACATGTATCATTATTATCTGGAAGTGTTTAAGGAGATAGTCAGCAATTCTAAGCTTACGATTCAGATGGAAAATTCTCTATGAAAAGATAATAGAAACTGATTTTATACAGTGCCTTTTATATTAGAGACAAAATTGCTTTACAAACAACAATTTGGCCAAGGTGCAGCACGGCAACCATGTGGGCAAATCCAGCAGTCTCTAGGCACTTTGCAACAGCTCACACAAAACCTCATTAATTATTTCAGCAGAAACGGAAGGAGTGAACAAGACTGGGGCTTTGTTTTGCTTGGCATGATGAAAACAGAAAGACCAAGACGTTTACAATTTAAACAGAATAATAAAATAAAATAAAAACACAAATGAAAAGGTGAAAAGTGACACAAAGGGATGAAATGTTAACGGTCACACATGGGTCAAAGACAAGTTACCTTCCAGGGTGATCGAAATGGATGTTGGGTCTTGTGGAAGGAAGACTATCTTAGTGGTCAGCCAGAACGCAGAAGGTCTGGCACACACCTTCTCTTCTGACCCAGAGGTTACTATGCCATTATCGGAGACTCCTCAAATTTGCTAGGTGTGGTGCACATGGAACTACTCTCTAGCTTATGTAACTCAGAAAGAACTAAGTCAGTAAAGACATTATCTAAAGGCTGTTCACTAATGCTGCCTCTGTGAACTGAGCCAGACTAAGGAATGGTCAACCATCCAAGTAGCTCATTGTGCTCTGATGGGTCGAGAGAACCAACACCTCCAACAAGGACTCTGTGATATGCAATTGGGAACAGTAGCTTTTTCAACGAGCACAACTGGAAGCAGAGGAGACCTGTGCCCTTGGCCATCTTGCTCAGCTGGAGAGCCCCAAAGCACGGTTTCATGTTTTTGTTATCAGAAGAGACGACATTAAGAGCACAAGGGTGCAAGTACCCTGCAGTGCAGCTCAGTGTGTGAATATGCACTCCTTGGCATTACCACAAATTACAATCTCTACAACCTGAATATTCTGTGCTAAGCTGCACACATCAGAAATAGCTCCATCTGTCAAATTACCACCTTTTCTGTCAACTTCGTTTCTGATAAAACTCCAGTGTCATTCAGAGACCTACGGAATGGAGACAGAAACGAAAAATCAACTGTTTCATTGTGCTGCTTAGTGGAAGAGTACAGAAGGGAGAACTCAATGCCACTGCCAATAATTGCTTCCCAAGTTACTGGGAGCAGCATTAGGTTCAGTCCAGCAGTATTTGAAATTACAGCAACAGTAAACACCCTTCAGCTCCACCTATGCTCAGGAAGAGTTAGGTCAAAAGAATATTATCAACCCATGATATCTCTGAAAGAGTTTCCCATAGGCAATGGGAATAAAGAAACCAAAGTCCTTCTGAGTAACATCCTTCATTTTAAATGATGTTTCTTCTGCTAGGAACCAGTGAACTATTTCCCTTTAGTGACTGAAGTTGAGAGGTCGATTTTAGGGCTAATTATTAGTGAATATGTTTTTACATACATTATTTTAACACCACAAAAAAGAATGGAAAAAGTATATAATATTTATATTTACTCTTTTGGTAAATATAACTAACTTCCTGTCACTGTGGGAGAGGATATGAACAGCACCTCAAACACAAAAAAGGAAGGTCTTGGCTCTGAGCTAACTAGAAGCTTTTTGCAGAAGAGCAGCAACTATTTTATCACACCTTCAATAGCCCTGCAAATTCAGGCAGGGGAAAAGACTTTACTGAACAAATACAACTCTTGTAGACTAAGTAAGATGAGGGCATAAAAAGGGAATACATTTATACACAGTACACAAACCTGGGCGGGGGGGAACATAACTTTATTATTCCTATTATTATTCCTACTCTATTATTTCTTGCAATTAGCATTTCAAAAATTTTTT